AGAGGTTCCTTTGTCGATGCGCTTTCTACAATTGTTAAACCCATTGAACTCAATGTCAGCAGCAGCAGCAACAGCTCCACCCACCCCATCCTTTCTCTCTCTCTCTCATACTAAACTTCCCCTCTTCCAGCTGCCTCAGTCCTGTTTGATAAATGAGGATTCCTGCAGGTCAGAAAGTTGCTTGAATCAGTGACATGGACAATACATAAAACACTCTACGGTAACACCAAAAACGCAGCTACAGGAGAAGCTATGTATGATAATTAACGGTAGCAAAATTGCCAAGCGTGATACTACTGAGGTTGTCTGCATATTTCTAGCTATAGCCCAAGATATGGAGGATCTCTAGCATAAGAAGAGAATTCATTTGATCATATGCATCCGTTTTGCATTGATGAAATTGAGGAAAACCAAGAAGCGCAGCAAAGAAATTAAATGTCAAGCATGTGAAGAAGACCGGAGTAATGGGAGAGCAAATTCCACTCACCTTCGCGTCTCTGGTTGTTGCTCTATCTTGAAGGACATCTGCAATAGGGAGTTAGGTCGGTTGATATAGATGATGTGCTCGAAACAATTGCTGGAGTTATAATTAACGACGATTGCAGATGGAGATGGCAAGACAATCAACAAAGTTGACTAGACTTGCAGTGTGTACTGCTTACCTCTTTGAAATCGTCAGAGCTGTTCCATCGGCCACCAATTATGATGCAATGCATCTTTTTTTCTCCAAACGACTAAGTTGGTCGGAATCATTGCCACTTCCAAAGGCTCGGGAAATCTAATTCCATTGTCCATCGTACAAAAACAATATCCGGGTCGATCTCAATGCTACGGTGAAAAAGAAAATAAAATGAACAACCCAACACTGCATGCAAATATGTCTACTTCGAATTATATGTATGGTTGCTGAATAGCTATACTGACTAAGTGTTGCGTAATTTACTCGTGTATATTATGACCATTATGGAATTGTTAATCACGCATAAACAACTGACTTTAGAAGGCTTCTGGGTATCGACCTGAGCTTGTACTGGACTCATAAAATCAACAACACCCTTATAAGCCATAAATTTGGTTCAATGAGAAGCCGGTCTTCCTTCGTTGGTGGCTCGGACGAAGTATTGGTGTAAAACCGGCCTTGTGGTGGTCATATGGCCTCACCTTTTACGTTACTTGATTGAGACAAATGAAGTTTGATGCATCGCTTGCGTATCTTTCAACGATAAAGTGAATACAACCCATCATCGACGCCAATAGCTTGATTGGGATAGATTGAGTATAACCCACCTGGAAATTAAACCATTCACACTGCGTTTCTCACCTGATAAGATGGCTGATGACATCCAATTTCTGCCTCCTATGATCTTTCAGAAGAACAATCGGTTTATTCGGTTTCAAGTTTGCCTTCGGATTCACATCCGACAGGAATTTGTGAATTCCAGGAAAAGAGAACAGAATTAGGTACAACGTGCAACAGCACCTACAATGGAATGCGAATAAATTGGTGGAACGAGAATGGAGCATGATTTCATGATGACAGGGTGAGAATCAATTCAAGTTATCATGACACCTGCCTCACAACCATTCCCTCTTTAGAGTTTGTATATGGTGGTAATATATATAAGGAGAAAAAAAAGGAGAAAAGTCTCCATTCTTGCAAATATTATAATTGATTTCTTAATTTTATCTGACATGCCAGTTCAAACAGGAGAAAGATTAATGCCATGACTATCACATCTCCAAAACAACAATGGACTTTGACTTCCAAGTCTTTGCACTAAATCCTACGGTAGAATATTTTGTGATGTTAACTTGCGTTATCTGTTATCTGTCCTCCCTTGGAAACAATTTCTTGTGCTTGTGGAAATTTCAAGTAGGCCGCAAAACATGCATTTTGACTTAAACTTGAGTTGAGCCCTAAGATAGATAGAACTTACCAATATTTAGATTAGTAATTTGCAAGCACAACGCCTCAGATAATTTAGGAAAAAAATTTAAATCAATTTTAGAGTAAAATAATAAAACCACATAAGTAAAATTAAATATTGTTTTCCGAGTATTTGTTTCAGAGCAATAATTAGAACTACACTACCTAACAGACTTGACTAGAATAGTAGAGGGTATTGCTATCTGTTTGGACTTGTGGAAGCTGTTCCATCGGGCACGAACAATGATATGATACGTTGCTCCAAGCTAAAAAATCTAGTCCTTACAATTGTGCTGTATCCTTCGCAACTAGTAAAAAAATTTGGCATTTGACTTCATTTCAAAGTACTAATAGGATAGTGCAGTATCGTATGATTAAAGTTATTATTGACTTGTCAAGTAATATCTGTATCATTGAAGTTAAATATAGATTTCTAGCTGGTCTATACTTTCCTAATTTTTCTCTCATTCGCTTATTAGTCATCTAAAGCATCCATATACAAATGAGATATTATATTTGGATTTTCCATCGGTTGTTATTATCTTCTCGTTCGAAGAAAAATTATTCTTAGAGATTATCATGTCAACCGTTCTCACTTCTATCTTCATGTTATATCATGGATTATTCTTCAGATTTGGATAGGAAACAACTAGTCAAGCCATCAATAGGGTAAGATAGCATGATTGTAATATAAAAACTTATATTATTTATTTTACAAACCAATATTGATAGCAAGACTAATCGAACTATTCATTTCTTCATTTATTTTAGAAATGAAATTAAGTTTATGGACCAATGTTGATAGCATGACTAATATTGAACTACTCATTTTTTAATTTAGCAGTAATATATCTATTACATAATTTTTTACACCTTCTTATTAGCTGATACTATCTTTGTATTCAAGTTTACATTCATTTAGATTCATAGGCTTGAGAAATCTAACTTCACTTGCCGTCGTATCAAAAACTATATACGAGTTAATCTCGATGCTATGATAAAAAAGAAAACAATGAACGAGTGACCCATTATTACTATAAATGGATTGCTAGTTGTAGTTATATGTATGAGTGTTGAACGGCTAAACTATGTCACATACTTTACGCATGAAGACGAAACGATAAAAACATATATGAATATCATCAAATTAGAAACTGCGATAGTGCTGAAGTACTCAATTGAAAATAATAGTGTCGAATATTTAAAACAATAACTACAAGGATAGATAATATAAATTATGGTTGGCTCCTCTTAACTGACGATCATTTTCCACAATGAGGATAATCACACAGTTTTGAAACAATTCATTTGACATAGAAAATGATGTATTAAATTGGATCATGACTATGTAGACTTCGTCCTTTCTTGACAACCTCCTGAACTTGAAAGAAAAGGAAAGAACACGATTTTAAATTGATATGAATGACTTAGATATTCCAATTGATGTTAACATAATATTTCAACGAACTCGTCTCAAGGCAGTCAGTTTAAGCCGCCTCATTAGATCATTAGTCGTCAACGCAGCAGCACGAGTCTATCTAGCGTGAACATCACGTTCACGCTTCAGAAGGTGTGGCCTTTGTGCATCCACCCGTCTGCATTTATGCGACAGGAGCTCGTGCTTGAATCATGTAGTCCAACACTAAGCTACATCTTTGGATGGAAGAGATAGAGACTCACCTTTCGTTCTACAAGTGGCCTTGTCCTGCTACTTGCGTTACATCATGTAGAAAAATCAATCACCGTCGGTCACCTTATGCGAAATGAGAATAAAAAGATCAATAGACTGACTTCCACCAAGTCTTTGTATCGCGCCCTGATGTGATACGTATTGATAAAACAAACGTATAATGCACATATGATGTGGTACGCTATACCAAACGAAAATTTACTTAACACAAGCTGATCACCTGCGATTTCAATAGATTTAAATACCAAATTTCTGTCCCAAAAATGTTCTCATCCTATGTGGCTCTCACATGAACTTTGAAATGTATTTGGGATGAAAATTTCAAACACAGCATTACCCAAAACAGCATTACGTTATATCATTAAACCCAAAGACAATACACTGGAGATCAAATGGTCAACGAAACATGAATATTTACCCAATACAAACTCACCTCAGGTAATTGTGTGACCTCAATAGTTCCTTCTTCAAGCTATAATTCATGGATGTGTACCGTTTACATACACACAGTATAATGACATTACTGGTGGGCCCTATTGTTTTATTTTTCTTCAAAGATCGAATCACATGATCTTTCCAAAACTGAATCTGATTTCTCTCTCGGCAACGTAAGGTAAACTTTGAGTTGTTTGAAGGGCTCTGTCCTCGTTTGAAGAATAGAATATTGTACCTCAAGCTTCTTTATCGATGAACATGATGGTGGAACTGATACAAGGAACTGCAAGTCATCACCTGAGAAGGAGAGACGATTGATATGGAAGACTAGACATGGAGGACACAAACGTATTGACTTAGTAGATAAATAACGCTGGGGCAATAATTAGCACTAGACTGGCAAACGTATTGACTTAGTATGGATTGCTACCTGTTTGGATTTCTCAGAGCTGTTCCATCGGGCATGAACAACGATGTTATACATTTCTCGGTGATATCGTATAAGTTCAATTCCTTGAAAAACAATGATTCCACCGATTTATCTAGCTCAAGTATGTATTATCTAATTTCAATCTGATTGGTCCTACTAAAACTTTGATTAGTATACAATTACAGTCCAGAAAGTGAATCCAGAGTAGTCCATTTATAGGATGTGACGGGGTTTTCAGTGAGTCATTTGAATATACTAATGGGATAGTGAAATATTGTATTAGTTGTGAAAATTATAATTGACATGTCACATAGCTTATTAACTTTGGATTAATGTGTATCGTTCACATACACATATAGTATAATGGCATTACTGGTGGGCCCTGATGCTTCATTTTTCTCCATAGATCCAATTACGTGGTCTTCCTAAGACCGAGTTTGGTTTCTCCCTCGTCAACTTAGCATAAACTTCGAGTTGACTGAAAAGTTTTGTCCTCGTTTGAAAAATAAAATGATGTAACTCAAGCTGCTTTATTGATGTACATGATGGTGAGATAAATCACTTGAGAAGAGGAGACGATTGACATGAGAAACTAGACTCGAGACAACAACTCCTTTTGATACTATAATACTATAAGAAGAATTATATGTAACAACATACTAGGTGAGGTAGCCTCAATATATATATATATATATATATATATATATATATATATATATATATATATATATATATATATATATATATATATATATATATATATATATTCCCTTGTGTGTGCAATGATAGGTATTTTCAAGTAAATTATTTGTTGTGAAAATTATTATTGACATGACACGTAGCTGAAGTATGTATTATCTTATTTCAATCTGATTGGTCCTACTAAAAACTTAGTCAGTATATAATTGCAGTCCACCTCAAGAAAGACTAGTCCATTTGTAGGATGTGATGTGGTTTTTAGCAAGTCATTTTAATATTCTAATGGGATAGTGAAATATTGTATTAGTTGTGGAAATTATTATTGATCTGTCACGTAGCTCATTAACTCTGGATTAACGTGGACCGTTCATACACACACATACAATATAATGACATTACTGGTGGGTCCTATTACTTCGTTTTTTTCCAAAGATCAAATCAACCTAAGACCGGATATAGGAACTGCTAAATCATCGGCCAAGAAAGACATTGACATGGGAGACTTTGACTCCTTTTGATACTATAATATTATAATGAGGATTACAAGCAATAACATTCTAAATGAGGTAGCCCCACGTATCAGTGACATCTCCAGAGATTTACATGAGATATAAAAGAGAATTACATAAGATAATTAAAACTGAGGTTGTATCTAAAAAGGCATAAGAGGTTGCGAGCAAAGTAGCCAATACAAACATGAGTACTAAACGGAAACAAACTCATCGAGGATAATACTGCAACCACATGAATTCCTACTATAAGTTATAATTCCTCGATGTGTCCTCTACTTTCCACCCCAAAAGGAAAGTAGATATTAACATCCCCGTGTTTTGTTGAACAGTTATTTGGCGGTGTGAAAGTTGCATCTGTTGAGATGATCAAAATGGTCAGCAACGGAATTAATACAACACAACTTTTCTTTTAATACAATTATTTATTTAGATATACACAGCGAGGTGAGGAAGGAACGTTACCTTGGCAGCCATTAGGTACGTAGGGATTACCTTGATAACTTAATGAACACCGACAAATATATCCAATAGTATAATTTATATGGGCAACATCAGGAAAGACATCGTAGCAATCACTATTCTTGCTGCGGCTAGCATAAGTGATCATATTCTTGTAAGCTTCTTTACATGTTAGGTGATCGGTGATGTAATACGCTAGGGTGGTAATCGCTACTTGTGTTTTCGCTCGTAATATTTCTCTCGCTATACAAGAAGGCCTTAATGATAGAGGCGTCAAATAAATGATGCTCGGTCTGGTTGAGACGAGTTACCCGAATCCCCAAGGAAGTCAAATTCTCAGCATTCAAATAATACATATTAAAAATACAGTATCCTGTATCAAATGAGTACCAGTATTCATGTGGACTTGAACTATTGGCATAACAGGTAGTTGAGCAAGTATGAATGGTTTTATTGGTAGCAAGATCAACTAGATCGGCAATAGCGCTGCAACCGGCTACAAAAATATAGTTATATGCCATTGAAATAGTGTAACTGTCTGTAAAGTTTGCCTCCAAGTTAAAAGAGAAGGGGAAATTCCTCAGATCAATCAATGTGTGGCTGAAATAGTCCTCATCGACACCCATGGTGACAATTGGAGTTTTCACGTACACGATTCCATTGTCCATATCAAAATCAATGACCTCAACGGTGCCATCGCCCAAGAAGAGGCTACGAGCAGGAGGATCAGTGGTTTGGTTTATGCAGGTAAGATTAAAACCTGGACGAAAGCAGCCGCTGCCTATACCGAAAGGGTACTCGAAGCTGATGTTACCACAGCTTTTTGGGCAGTTGGAAGGGAGGGGAAAAGTTATGTCCGTGGATGTATTTTCTGCTCCTGTCGAACCCATTGGTCCCAATGTCAGAAATAGTAAGAGCAGCACCTCTGCTAACCCCATCCCTTCTCTTCCCTCACTCGAACACCAACGTCCAGATGTTACCAACCTGTAGAAAAAGAGAGTTAGGCTCAGTTAGCAAAGCTTACTTAAGTTGGCTACATGGACAATACTTATAACACGAACTAATAGCACCATAAAATTAATCAGTGGAAAAGTCGATTTCTGCAACAACAGAGCACTTCCATATCGATCAAATATGGTAGTATTGAAATCTTAAAGATTTTCTGCAGCCCAGGAAAAGCATCCCCAGCCTGCATATGTATACATTATCAATTTATATCAGTTTCTATTATAAATAATATTTACCTGTTTGATAGTATAGTGATGATGACTAGTGTGACCCAGGGCTTATAGAGAATGAGCAGAGGACCTCCTCTGCTCACCCTGAAAAAAGGAACTCTGAAAACAGACTGTTTTGGTGAAGCGGGGTTGATGATTTGTATGGTATCAATAATCCTCGGACACAACTCCATGGCATCTGCGAGGTTAGGGAGGTTGTCTCTAATGGATCAGCCAGGATGGGAAGAAGCAAACGGAGGCAGAGGGAAAGAATGGGAAAAATTGTATACATGGGACAAAGAACGGGCACATGTTGTTGGGTCCAGCCCATATGTGGGCTTGGACAATTGGGACTATTGAGCCCAAATCAAGAGAGAAAGGGCAAAATTGGGCAGCGTGCAACGTGTGTGCGCAGATATGAGAGCAGCGTGCGCGGCGGCGTGCAGAGAAAAAAGAGGAGAGAGAAAGAGAGAGAGAAAGTAAGGTTTTTGAGTTTTCTGCTTGACGATCGGTGGCCAAACGTTGTCAGTTTCAGCCCAAATTTTATGTGGAGAATCCTTGCAGCAAACTCTACAATCCTAACGGTGTTGATCTGCAGTTTACCCTCTCTAAGGTACTTTCCTGAGATATCCACTCTGTGAGATCTAGAATTCTTTTTGGAAGAGATCAACTTATGTGACGAAGATATGGTATTCTTGAGCCAAGATCTATGTTCTTGATGTTATTCTGATCCTCTAGTTATTCTAGAGAAGACCTACTGATAACCTGTTATCATCATTATTGATAGTGGAAGTTTGAGGTGGACTACGGTCCCGTGGTTTTTCCCACATTGGGTTTTCCACGTTAAAAAGATTTGGTCTCTCTGTGTGATTGATTTATTGCTCTATTGTTTATGCTGTGCTGATTGATATTAGCATTTGGATATCAAGTTGGTATTTTGATGAAGAACCTATTTTGATACACAAAGAGGGAAAGAATTATTCCGCATTAACAGGTTTCTTCCCAACAAGTGGTATCAGAGCATCAGGTTGTTTGGTGCTAGTTTTCTTGTGTGATTGAAATGGAGCAGTCAGATGGTATGATTAAATTGAACTCATCAAATT